AGATACGATCGGAACCAACACAGGACGGTATCAGTGAGACCGAACGTTTGTTGCAGACGCTGGAGCAGTATGCCGTGGTCGAGCGTATCGAAAGCTGCCGATAAATCGAGTAAAGACAAAATCGATACCCGGCCCTCATCACAAGACGACAGAAGGTCGTTTACGACGCGCAACAGAGCTGTCTCAGTAGAGTGATGCACCCTGTATGCTGATTGGAATGGTTCAAACAAGTCAAACTGAGTGAGGTGATCCAGGAGTTGGCGGAGAACGACTTTTTCTAAGATTTTAGAAATAAATGGTAGATTTGAGATGGGGCGGTAATTTTCCATCACATTTGGGTCAAGATTTGATTTCTTTAATAGTGGAGTGACGATCGCCTCTTTAAGTCATTCTGATCTATGGCACTAAATCATACTAAGTCATTCTGATCTATGGCACTAAATCATACTAAGTCATTCTGATCTATCAACAATATTAAAGATACGACCCAAAACAGTTTCTAGTTACAATTAATAAGATTTAATTTATTAAGTCTTAAGATAATTACAACAGAAAAGAAAATATAATTACAATCTTCAACTTACAGTATGGTAGATCTCGTACCGGTACACAGTTAACACAGAATAATGTGCCAATAAATAATGCAAAATAAACACATATGAGCACACAAATAAAACAAAGAATAAAACAAGCCTCGTAAAGTTAATAAAATCTATCTGAATCTCCCTCCCCTCGTATCTGTCAATCCTTTATATACATGTAGCGTAAGACGCTTCCAGAAGGACCTATGACGTGTTGTTTACATATCTCGGGTTAATGAGTACATTCGAGAAGTTACCTGGAGACATTCTACCCAATGCGTAATTGGAAGCCGCTTGTAAACAAGCTACATCAAAGAGATTTAGCCACGCCCACAACAAAAGTTACTGTCTGCTAGGAGTGTACTACGAGGTCGAGGAAAGTTCACCCACAGGAAATTGTGCTACATAACAGGCACTAAATCATAATAAGTCATTCTGATCTATGGCACTAAATCATTATAAGCCACTCTGATCTATGGCACTAAATCATTATAAGCCAATCTGATCTATGGCACTAAATCATTATAAGCCACTCTGATCTATGGCACTAAATCATTATAAGCCAATCTGATCTATGGCACTAAATCATTATAAGCCACTCTGATCTATGGCACTAAATCATTATAAGCCACTCTGATCTATGGCACTAAATCATTATAAGCCACTCTGATCTATGGCACTAAATCATTATAAGCCACTCTGATCTATGGCAATAAATCATTATAAGTCACTCTGATCTATGGCACTAAATCATTATAAGCCACTCTGATCTATGGCACTAAATCATTATAAGCCACTCTGATCTATGGCACTAAATCATTATAAGCCAATCTGATCTATGGCACTAAATCATACTAAGTCATTCTGATCTATGGCACTAAACCATTATAAGCCACTCTGATCTATGGCACTAAATCATTATAAGCCACTATGATCTATGGCACTAAACCATTAAAAGTCACTATGATCTATGGCACTAAATCATTATAAGCCACTCTGATCTATGGCACTAAATCATTATAAGCCACTCTGATCTATGGCACTAAATCATTATAAGCCACTCTGATCTATGGCACTAAACCATATTAAGTCATTCTGATCTATGGCACTAAATCATTATAAGCCACTATGATCTATGGCACTAAATCATTATAAGCGACTCTGATCTATGGCACTAAATCATAATAAGTCATTCTGATCTATGGCACTAAACCATTATAAGCCACTATGATCTATGGCACTAAACCATTATAAGCCACTATGATCTATGACACTAAACCATTAAAAGTCACTATGATCTATGGCACTAAATCATTATAAGCCACTATGATCTATGTACAGATTTAAAGTTTCATTTTCTTACTTTGCTTCTCCCCACTGTAGGTTGTGCCACTTCCTTCCTCTGTACCATCAATCAGCAGCCGATATCTCAAACTACAGCTTCCATTGTTGTAGATGGCAAAATGTTGTGTGCCAGAGCTACCGACGACAATATCACCAAAGTCAATGTATGTTTCTTCTGCCTGTTGTAAAATGATATGTGAGAATGTCTAACAATTAGTGAGTATGGTGTTTTCCCCTGCCAACATGTAAAGTTTAATTGCTTTTAAATTTCTTCTGCCTATTTAAATATATAGTTACCATTGTGCAGAGTTAAGTTGGCATTCATACATAATTCTCTAGTTGTGGTTTCTTTAAACATGTCATCACAACATTTTGAAAAAAAAAATGTTTCAAAGATTTTTTATTTCTTCTTAAACTTATTGCTTCGTTGGTTGTGCATTGGTAGACTACTAACCGATTCATGATTGATTCATGACGATTCACATTTAATGCAACATTATTTTTCATCCATTTTTATTTCTTTATTTTTAAGATTTTATTTTTTAAAGGTGAATATATAAAATGTACATTACAATTTAACCAAGTATGTTTTTTATAATTGCAAAAATTTCACAATTTTTAAAAAAATTCTATGTCATTTTGTTGGGTAATTTATTGTTGCAGTAAAATTGGAACTCTTTGTCAGGTCTGCTGGCTTTCTTTTATGCAAAGTTGCACAAAGTTTGGCTGGTTTTGTTTTATTCCTTAATTTATTTCAAATCTCCTAAATACCTGAATATCCCCCAGTGCACCTTCTCCCACAGCACGAATGCAAAACTGGTTTTTCTTGCCACCTGATGATGATGGGCTGAGTCCTTGACCCCATGCCAGCAAGGTTGGTTTTATAACATACTTCTTTTCTTCATCTGGCTTAAAAGTCCACGTCTGTTGCTGTGGGAGTACAATAAAACTTATTACAGTGAATAAAGGTCTGAAATTTAGAAAACCTTCTTTCAAACAAAAATAAAAAGATACTGAAATAAATGATTGGCTTTAATATTTAATTAATAAAAACAATTTACAATATTTTAAGTTATTTATTGTAACTTATGTCAAACCAGGAGGCCTAATTCTGTGAACTGAATATATTATAAAGCTCAATACCGTTTAAACATAAATGAGAAATCCTGTTCTTGTTTCTATTGGACAAGGTATCACTAATTCCAAGACTCAATAAATCAAGCATCAATATTTTAACTCTTTGTGACCAGCAGATAGCTAAAATACTTACTGTCCATTCATTGGGCTCTACAATGCCA